TTGCCAAGGCGATGAATATAAATGACTTTGCGGGAGGACCTTCTTGGTGTTACCGCTTCATGCAACGCAACCGCCTCTCTATCAGAGCACGGACAACTGTTAATATGTTACGTTAACATACCGCCTATTCACGTTATGTTAACAGACGCATATTCAGCCTGTTGTTCTCCATTTTATTGTTATTAAGATAACTTGCCTTTCAAGATGAAATGTATGTTCTTGGTCTCTGATTTTATGAAATAAATTTCCCCCAAAAAGTGCGACTTATAGTCCAGTGCGACTTATATATGTTTTTTTCTTCTTCATTATGCATTTTTTGGCTGGTGCGACGTATACTCAGGAGCGACTTATAGTCCGGAAAATACGGTACTTTTTTTTTGCATCGATGAAACATGATACTTAAAGAATGGATTAATTTTTTTATTTTTCCTCACTATTTAAAATTCAGTTTCCAATATTATGAACTTGGAATACTAGAGTGACTTCTGCTTGAGAGAAGTTCACGTTTGGCCTGTAAATATTTGTCTGGGTATTGAACCACATGCCAGTCCTTCTGACTGCCCAGACCTTTCTTGCCTTGACAGTCAAACCAGTGAACCCAGAAAACAGGAACCATAAATCTGTCAGTTTTTCTGACTTCTTTCTTGAGACACTTGCTCACAACAAATCTTGTGCCTGATTCATTTCATCACATTTGATGGATGCTTTTGTCAGACTGTAGCTCCATTATCACACATTTTGATTCCACTTTGCATAAATATATGTACAGGTATTAACTTTTCAAACAATTTCTCCACCATGTGCTGTTACTTGCTTTCTCATGCCTCTGCTCTTTTCCCAACTTTCAGTTGTATGTGTACAGTTCCTTGACCTCCTTGCACCTTGGCACTTCACAGTTGCCAGCATTGGTTTCTGATGGTCTGTTTCGTAATTCACATCACATTCCACCTCCTCTGGCTCTCTGTTGCCTCTCTTCCAATTCATTTACCATCCATATCCACCTATTCTTTGATATTCCAGACCTTTCTTTCAGACTGTTTCCTCAAGCGACATCTTATCTCACTCTTTCATTTTGATCCGTCTCGGTCAGTGCAGTATTTTACCGCTACATTACTGCCAGACATGGAAAGCTCTATTTGATATTTGTGTGTAAAGCATTCAAGTGGGTTTCATTTTTTAATATGGATCTGCTTTATCAGCTGCCAAATGGAATTGCTGTGTTTTTTTATTTTTTTTATTTTTTATTTATGGTATAATAAAATTGATTTTGCATTTAAAGCAACTGGACTGCAGAAGTAACAAAGCAGGCCACCAACTCTGCTCCTCAGGTGCCTATGGCTGCTCTATTTTTATCTGGATAATTTTAATAGTGTCAGAATCAGAAAGACATTTTTATCAACTGTGAGTAATGTTTTGGCGCTTCAGGGAGTGCACCATGTGATCGGGAAAGGTAATGCCCCCAATCCTTATAAGAGGCGTGCGGCTGATGAGGTCACACCATGTGTCTGATTTACTGCTCTGCTAGCTTTGCTATGCTGAACTCGGGCCACTGCAGCATATATAAATCAGGAGATATTTTTGATATCTTTGGTTGTAAAGAAAGGCTGATTCAGTTTTGTTCTCTCCACTGTGGATTTGTTGAGTTCATATGCAGCTTTGATCATGTCTGTTAGTGAGTTTGCGCTTTTCTGAGTTCACTAAACATTGTTTTTAGCACACTTGTGTTGTCAAGACAATAGGACGTCATTTTCAAGTCTAATGGTAACAGACATGCAAACGTGTTTTATCTCTGGCTGCAGTTGCCAGTATGCTGCTGAAATGTGGCCTCTACCTAACCTCTCAACCAGGATGTTTGAGTAAATAAAACCTTTTCATGCTTTCCACCCCCTTAAAGCACATACACATCCAACCAGTGAGCTAGAAGCCACAGCCAAACATCTTACTTTAGCTCCAGAGTAATTGAATGCTTGCTTTTCACACTTCTCCGACTTTAAATTGGTGTTCATCATGTCCCCGTCATGGACTCAACAGCATGGAAAACTCGATTTTGGCTGAATTATACTTTGAAAGGAATGTTCTACTGAAAATGAGACAGTGACCAACATAGTCCTCACATTGAAATGCTTATCACACTCAGAAAACCTATAGTCTGATATGAATCAAGTGAAAGCAATGGACTTTACATTTAGTATTACCTCCCCCCGACTGCCAGTAAGACACACAAGCTCAGCAAGTTAGTAGGACAAGTTTGGGTTTCCATTTTATAATACAACTCTGAGTAGTCATCCTTAAATTATATTATCATTATGGTCAATGGAGCAGTGAGGAACATGCTGTTCAGTCCTAGATGGATGTAAAGCTTAGATGTGAAGTGGGCTTAATATTTTAAACATTACAAAATGAACTACAGAAGATTTTGCTGTTTTTTTTGTTGAGACATTAGAAGTGACTGTGTTGGAACATATACTAGGGGTAGGGCACCTCGGTGTAAAACCTCCATTCAGAAATCTTATCTAAAACTACAGATGTATTATTAACAAATTGCAAACTATCAAAAAGTAAAAGTACAATGCTGGGGTTTTAAAAATATATTATTATTGTTACTGATGCATAAACCTTTAAGTATCATTTTGAGCTGACTTTAACTACTACATATACTGTTGGGCAGGTTTGTCTTTAACAGTAATGTTAATATGTAAAATCTTCAAAGCAATGAATGACTATATATAGTTGTCTGTGTAGTAAAATTACAATATTTTCCTACTGAACTGTAGTAGAGTAGAAGTAAAGGAACAGAAAATTAAATTACTCTAGTAAACAAGCTTCTCAAAACTTTACTGAAGTACAACTCTAGAATAAACTTGTTGATGCAAAGTATGGCACTGATGCAAGTGTTAGGTTTTGCACAATTAAAAGAAATAACTTTCTACCTTTTCAGAGTGTGAATCTTTGCATCGTTCACCCAAATACGTGAACTGTTTACTCTTTGGAGACAAGAGTGTGTGGTAGGATCTGAGTTCTCGCTGGCTGTATGGATCACACACGGGCTTG